AAATTGACCTTCGCATGGCCACGGGTAACCCAAACCCACCCACCCACCCACCATCACCACCCACCCACCAAACCCACCCACCCACCCACACCACCCACCCACACCACCAAATTACCCAAATCTCCGTGAACGTAGTAGCCACCGTTGATAAGAGAATAATAAAAATGAAACGGAGGTCAAGTCGGGAATTCTAGAGCCTAGACACAACACGTCACCCTCCTGCTCGTATTGCAACTACAACTACTATCGTTCATCCTGCACGGTCCACCCTCATAGTCCACCTGGCACGCTCCACCCGCTCGACCCGGTAACCAGCTGGACTACCACCACGCACACACTCACACACAGACACACACACACAGACACGCTCACTCACTCACACAGACACGCACACAGACACTCACTCACTCACACAGACACTCACACACAGACATACACTGACACAGACATACACTGACACAGACATACACTGACACACACTCACTCACACACACTCACACAGACACTCACTCACTCAGACACTCACTCACTCACAGAGACGCACACGCACTCAGACACTCACTCACTCACACAAACACTCACTCACACAGACACTCACACACACAGACACACACTCACACAGACACACACTCACTCAGACACTCACACACTCAGACACTCACACACTCACTCACACACACAGACACACTCACTCAGACACACACACTCACACAGACACTCACACACACTCAGAGACACTCACACAGACACTCACACACACAGACACACACACAGACACACACACAGACACTCACGCACACAGACACACACACAGACACTCACACACACAGACACACACACTCACACACACAGACACACTCACTCACACAGACACTCACACACACACTCACTCAGACACTCACTCACTCACACAGACACTAACGTACACAGACACACACACAGACACACACACAGACATACACTGACACACACTCACTCACACAGACACTCACACAGACACTCACACAGACACACACAGACTCACACACACAGACTCACACACTCGCACAGACACACACACAGACACTCACGTACACAGACACACACACAGACACTCACTCACACAGACACACACAGACTCACACACACAGACTCACACACTCGCACAGACACTCACGTACACAAAGACACAGACAGACACTCACACACTCACTCACACACTCACTCACACAGTCACTCACACAGTCACTCACTCACAGAGACACTCACTCACACAGACACTCACACAGACACTCACACACCCACTCACATACAAAGATAAAGATCCCCCATATAGCCTTAACAGACTGTAGGGGCAAGTGCTGTTAGCGAGCACCTATGAAGGCCGGAACGGTACACGAGGGGGTGGGTGGTCAGCACCACGCCCGACCGCCTTTGTCTCCCCAGTGGCGATGTTTACTACACAGCACCAGATACTCATTTGAGGCTGAGTCGACCTAGGGGAGGCCCGGGACCGGTTCAGATAATCGTCACTGGTGTTGGCCGTGAGCGGGAATCGAACCCGGGTCGCCAGGTTCATAGCGCAGAGTAGCGCTAACCACTACACTACCGCTACACACACACACACAGACACACACATTCACTGTCACACATTCACACTCACATTCACACTCTCACACATTCACTCACACACATTCACACTCACACATTCACTCACTCACACACTCTCACATTCACTGTCACACATTCACACACATTCACACACACACATTCACACTCACACATTCACTCACACACATTCACACACACACATTCACACTCACACATTCACTCACACACATTCACACACATTCACACTCACACATTCACTCTCACACTCACACATTCACTCTCACACTCACACATTCACTGTCACATTCACACTCACACATTCACTCTCACACACTCACGCATTCACTCTCACACATTCACACTCACACATTCACTCACTCACACACTCTCACATTCACTGTCACACATTCACACACACACATTCACACTCACACATTCACACTCACACTAAGTGGACCCCTGGCTGAGATAGGGTAAAGGGGGTAGGCGATCCCCCTGTTAGACTCCACTCACACAACCATCACCACTACCACCACTACCACCACAACCATCACCACTACCACCACTACCACCACTACCACCACAACCATCACCACTACCACCACTACCACCATTACCACCACCACCACCACTACCACCACCACTACCACCACAACCACCACTACCACTACTACCACCTCCATCACTACCAGCATTACCACTACCACGTCCATCACCACTACCACCACTACCACCACCTCCACCACCACTACCACCACTACCATCACCTCCACTACCACCATCACCTCCACTACCACTACTACCACTATCACCACTACCACCATCACCACCACCATCACCACCACCACCATCACCACCACTATCACCTCCACTACCACCACTACCACTATCACCTCCACTACCACCACTACCCCCTCTACCATCACTACCATCACCTCCACTACCACCACTACCACCACCACCATCACCTCCACCACCACCATCACCTCCACTACCACCACTACCACCACCACCACCACCATCACCTCCACTACCACCACTACCACCACCACCACCACCATCACCTCCACCACCACCACCACCATCACCTCCACCACCACCATCACCTCCACTACCACCACCACCACCACCATCACCACCACTACCCCCTCTACTACCACCATCACCTGGAATGTGAAAATCGGGGGAGGGAGAGACACGGGGAGAGAGACACTGGGAGAGAGACACGGGGAGAGAGACACGGGGAGAGAGACACGGGGAGAGAGACACGGGGAGACACGTGGAGAGAGACACGGGGAGAGAGACACGGTGAGAGAGACACGGTGAGAGAGAGAGACACGGTGAGAGAGACACGGGGAGAGAGAGACACGAGGAGAGACACAGCATAGGTGTCTGTGTCTGTGTGTGTGTCTGTGTGTGTGTCTGTGTGTGTGTCTGTGCGTGTGTCTGTGCTTGTCTGTGTGTGTCTGTGTATGTGTATGTCTGTGTGTGTGTGTCTGTGTGTGTCTGTGCGTGTCTGTGTCTGTGTGTCTGTGTCTGTGTGTGTGTGTGTCTGTGTGTGTGTGTCTGTGTGTGTGTGTCTGTGTGTGTGTCAGTCATCTCAGTCAGTCAATCCATGGCACCTGCTGGGTCTGCCCCGTGACCTCCTGCATGCAGGCGTTCAACACTTCACGTGGCCTCAGGGTGCACATAGCCTGGCACAAGCGTCGTGGTGACGTCACCGCCACTTAGTGGCGAATGGCGGTTGTTGTTGTTGTTGTGTGTCACTGTGTGTGTGTGTCTGTGTGTGTGTGTCTGTGTGTCTGTGTGTGTGTCTGTGTGTGTGTGTCTGTCTGTGTGTGTGTCTGTATGTGTGTCTGTCTGTGTGTGTGTCTGTCTGTGTGTGTGTCTGTCTGTGTGTGTGTCTGTCTGTGTGTGTCTGTGTGTGTGTGTGTGTCTGTCTGTGTGTGTGTCTGTCTGTGTGTGTGTCTGTCTGTGTGTGTGTCTGTATGTGTGTGTGTCTGTATGTGTGTCTGTCTGTGTGTGTGTCTGTCTGTGTGTGTGTCTGTCTGTGTGTGTGTCTGTGTGTGTGTGTCTGTCTGTATGTCTGTCTGTGTGTGTGTGTGTCTGTGTGTGTGCGAGTGGTGAGCGAGTGGTGAGTCGGGGAGTGGTGAGCAGGTGTGTGGGTGAGCAGGTGAGCCTTGGGTGAGTGTGGCGAGTGTGTGGGTGAGTGGTGAGTGTGGTGAGTGTGTGGTGAGTGTGGCGAGTGTGTGGGTGAGTGGCGAGTGAGTGGTGAGTGGGTGAGTGTGTGGGTGAGTGGTGAGTGTGGTGAGTGTGTGGGTGAGTGGTGAGTGTGATGAGTGTGTGGGTGAGTGGTGAGTGTGGCGAGTGTGTGGGTGAGTGGTGAGTGTGGTGAGTGTGGCGAGTGAGTGGTGAGTGGGTGAATGTGTGGGTGAGTGTGGTGAGTGTGTGGGTGAGTGGTGAGTGTGGTGAGTATGTGGTGAGTGGTGAGTGTGGTGAGTGTGTGCATCATGAGCGAGTTGGTGAGCGAGTTGGTGAGCGAGTTGGTGAGCGAGTTGGTGAGCGAGCTGGTGAGCGAGCAGGTGAGCGAGTTGGTGAGCGAGTTGGTGAGCGAGTGGATGAGCGAGCTGGTGAGCGAGTTGGTGAGCGAGCAGGTCAGCGAGTTGGTGAGCGAGTTGGTGAGCGAGTTGGTGAGCGAGTTGGTGAGCGAGTTGGTGAGCGAGTTGGTGAGCGAGCAGGTCAGCGAGTTGGTGAGCGAGTTGGTGAGCGAGTTGGTGAGCGAGCTGGTGAGCGAGTTGGTGAGCGAGTGGATGAGCGAGCTGGTGAGCGAGTTGGTGAGCGAGTTGGTGAGCGAGCAGGTCAGCGAGTTGGTGAGCGAGTTGGTGAGCGAGTTGGTGAGCGAGTTGGTGAGCGAGTTGGTGAGCGAGTTGGTGAGCGAGCTGGTGAGCGAGTTGGTGAGCGAGTTGGTGAGCGAGCTGGTGAGCGAGTTGGTGAGCGAGTTGGTGAGCGAGTTGGTGAGCGAGTTGGTGAGCGAGCTGGTGAGCGAGTTGGTGAGCGAGTTGGTGAGCGAGCTGGTGAGCGAGTTGGTGAGCGAGCTGGTGAGCGAGCTGGTGAGCGAGTTGGTGAGCGAGTTGGTGAGCGAGTTGGTGAGCGAGTTGGTGAGCGAGTTGGTGAGCGAGCAGGTCAGCGAGTTGGTGAGCGAGTTGGTGAGCGAGTTGGTGAGCGAGTTGGTGAGCGAGTTGGTGAGCGAGCAGGTCAGCGAGTTGGTGAGCGAGCAGGTCAGCGAGTTGGTGAGCGAGCAGGTCAGCGAGTTGGTGAGCGAGTTGGTGAGCGAGCAGGTCAGCGAGTTGGTGAGCGAGCAGGTCAGCGAGTTGGTGAGCGAGTTGGTGAGCGAGTTGGTGAGCGAGTTGGTGAGCGAGCTGGTGAGCTGCTCCACCAGTAGCCAGCATCACCACCTCCATCAGAGCCCTCCTGCAAAACACAGCAAGCACCACTTACTCACCACTTACTCACCACTTACTCACCACTTACTCACCACTTACTCACCACTCACTCACCACTCACTCACCACTCACTCACTCACCACTTACTCACCACTTACTCACTCACCCACTCACCACTCACTCAACCACTCACTCACTTACCCACTCACTCACCACTTACTCACCACTCACCACTTACTCACCACTCACCACTTACTCACCACTCACTCACCACTTACTCACTTACTCACTCACTCACCACCCACTCACTCAACCACTCACTCAACCACTCACTTACTCACCACTCACTCACCACTCACTCACCACTCACTCAACCACTCACTCACTCACCACTCACCACTTACTCACCACTCACTCACCACTCACTCACCACTTACTCACCACTCACTCACCACACACTCACCACACACTCACCACACACTCACCACTCACTCACCACTCACTCACTCACCCACTTACCACTCACTCACTCACCCACTTACTCACCACTCACTCACCACTCACTCACCCACTCACTCACTTACTCACCACTCACTCACCCACTCACTCACCCACTCACCCACTCACCCACCACTTACTCACCACTCACTCACTCACCACTCACTCACCACTTACTCACTCACCCACTCACTACTCACCACTCACTCACTACTCACTCACCACTTACCACACACTCAACACTCACTCACCACTTACTCACCACTCACCCACTCACTCACCCACCACTCACCACCTCACTCACTCACCACTCACTCACCACTTACCACACACCACTCACTCACTCACCACTCACTCACCACTTACCACTCACTCACTCACTACTCACTCACTCACCAGTCACTCACCATACACTCACCACACACTCACTCACCACTTACTCACCACGTACTCACCACGTACTCACCACTCACTCACCACACTCACCACTCACTCACTTACCACTCACACCACACTCACCACTCACTCACTCACCACTCACTCACCACTCACTCACTAACCACACACTCACTCATCACTTACCACACACTCACACACTCACCACTCACTCACCACTCACTCACCACTCACTTACCACACACTCACCACTTACCACACACTCACCCACTCACTCACTTCATGCTCACTCACCACCCATCCACTCACCACTCACTCACTCACCCACTTACTCAGTCACTCACTCACTCACAGTGAGTGAGTGGTGAGTGGTGAGTCAGTGGTGAGTGAGTGAGTTATTAGGTGAGTGGGTGGGTGAGTAGGTGAGTGAGTGAGTAGGTGAGTGGGTGGGTGAGTAGGTGGGTGGGTGAGTGAGTGAGTGGTGAGTGGATGGGTGGTGAGTGAGCATGAAGTGAGTGAGTGAGTGTGTGTGTGAGCGTGAGTGTGGTGAGCGTGAGTGGTGAGCGTGAGTGGTGAGTGGTGAGCGTGAGTGGTGAGTGGTGAGCGTGAGTGGTGAGCGTGAGTGGTGAGTGGTGAGCGTGAGTGGTGAGCGTGAGTGGTGAGCGTGAGTGGTGAGTGGTGAGCGTGAGTGGTGAGTGGTGAGCGTGAGTGAGTGGTGAGTGGTGAGCGTGAGTGGTGAGTGGTGAGCGTGAGTGTTGAGTGGTGAGTGGTGAGTGAGTGGTGAGCGTGAGTGGTGAGTGGTGAGTGAGTGGTGAGTGGTGAGTGAGTGGTGAGTGAGTGGTGAGCGTGAGTGGTGAGTGAGTGGTGAGTGGTGAGCGTGAGTGGTGAGCGTGAGTGGTGAGCGGTGAGTGGTGAGTGAGTGGTGAGTGGTGAGCGTGAGTGGTGAGTGTGAGTGGTGAGCGTGAGTGGTGAGTGAGTGGTGAGTGGTGAGCGTGAGTCAGTGGTGAGTGGCGAGTGGTGAGCGTGAGTGGTGAGCGTGAGTGGTGAGCGTGAGTGGTGAGTGAGTGGTGAGTGGTGAGCGTGAGTGGTGAGTGTGAGTGGTGAGTGAGTGGTGAGTGGTGAGCGTGAGTCAGTGGTGAGTGGTGAGTGGTGAGCGTGAGTGGTGAGTGGTGAGCGCGAGTGGTGAGTGTAAGTGGTGAGCGTGAGTGGTGAGTGGTGAGCGTGAGTGGTGAGCGTGAGTGGTGAGTGGTGAGCGTGAGTGGTGAGTGGTGAGCGTGAGTGGTGAGCGTGAGTGAGTGGTGAGTGGTGAGTGAGTGGTGAGTGGTGAGCGTGAGTGGTGAGCGTGAGTGGTGAGCGTGTGTGGTGAGTGAGTGGTGAGTGGTGAGCGTGAGTGGTGAGCGTGTGAGTGGTGAGTGAGTGGTGAGCCTGAGTGGTGAGCCTGAGTGGTGAGCGTGAGTGGTGAGTGGTGAGCGTGAGTGGTGAGCGTGAGTGGTGAGTGGTGAGCGTGAGTGGTGAGTGAGTGGTGAGCGTGAGTGGTGAGTGGTGAGCGTGAGTGGTGAGTGAGTGGTGAGTGGTGAGCGTGAGTGGTGAGCGTGAGTGGTGAGGGTGAGTGGTGAGTGGTGAGCGTGAGTGGTGAGAGTGAGTGGTGAGTGAGTGGTCAGTGGTGAGCGTGAGTGGTGAGCGTGAGTGGTGAGGGTGAGTTGTGAGGGTGAGTGGTGAGTGGTGAGCGTGAGTGGTGAGTGGTGAGTGGTGAGCGTGAGTGGTGAGCGTGAGTGGTGAGTGGTGAGCGTGAGTGGTGAGTGGTGAGTGGTGAGCGTGAGTGGTTAGTGAGTGAGCGTGAGTGTGGTGAGCGTGAGTGTGGTGAGTGGTGAGCGTGAGAGTGGTGAGGGTGAGCGTGAGTGGTGAGCGTGAGTGGTGAGCGTGAGTGGTGAGTGGTGAGCGTGAGTGGTGAGTGGTGAGCGTGAGTGGTGAGTGGTGAGCGTGAGTGGTGAGCGTGAGTGGTGAGTGGTGAGCGTGAGTGGTGAGTGGTGAGCGTGAGTGAGTGGTGAGTGGTGAGCGTGAGTGGTGAGTGGTTAGCGTGAGTGGTGAGTGGTGAGTGGTGAGTGAGTGGTGAGCGTGAGTGGTGAGTGGTGAGTGAGTGGTGAGTGGTGAGTGAGTGATGAGTGAGTGGTGAGCGTGAGTGGTGAGCGTGAGTGGTGAGTGAGTGGTGAGCGTGAGTGGTGAGTGGTGAGCGTGAGTGGTGAGTGAGTGGTGAGCGTGAGTGGTGAGTGTGAGTGGTGAGCGGTGAGTGGTGAGTGAGTGGTGAGTGGTGAGCGGTGAGTGGTGAGCGTGAGTGGTGAGCGTGAGTGGTTGGTGAGTGGTGAGTGGTGAGCGTGAGTCAGTGGTGAGTGGTGAGCGTGAGTGGTGAGCGTGAGTGGTGAGCGTGTGAGTGGTGAGCGCGAGTGGTGAGTGTGAGTGGTGAGTGAGTGGTGAGCGTGAGTGAGTGGTGAGTGGTGAGTGAGTGGTGAGTGGTGAGCGTGAGTGGTGAGCGTGAGTGGTGAGCGGTGAGCGGTGAGTGGTGAGTGGTGAGCGTGAGTGGTGAGCGTGAGTCAGTGGTGAGTGGTGAGTGAGTGGTGAGTGAGTGGTGAGTGGTGAGTGGTGAGCGTGAGTGGTGAGCGTGAGTGGTGAGTGGTGAGTGAGTGGTGAGTGAGTGGTGAGTGGTGAGTGAGTAGGTGAGTGGTGAGTGGTGAGCGTGAGTCAGTGGTGAGTGGTGAGTGAGTGGTGAGTGAGTGGTGAGTGAGTGAGTGGTGAGTGAGCGTGAGTGGTGAGTGGTGAGCGTGAGTGGTGAGTGGTGAGCGTGAGTGGTGAGCGTGAGTGAGGGGTGAGTGGTGAGTGGTGAGCGTGAGTGGTGAGTGGTTAGCGTGTGAGTGGTGAGTGATGAGTGGTGAGTGGTGAGCGTGAGTGGTGAGCGTGAGTGGTGAGCGTGAGTGGTGAGCGTGAGCGTGGTGAGCGTGAGTGGTGAGCGTGAGTGGTGAGTGGTGAGCGTGAGTGGTGAGCGTGAGTGGTGAGTGGTGATTGTGAGTGGTGAGTGGTGAGCGTGAGTGTGGTGAGTGGTGAGCGTGAGTGTGGTGAGCGTGAGTGGTGAGTGGTGAGTGTGAGTGGTGAGCGTGAGTGTGGTGAGTGGTGAGCGTGAGTGTGGTGAGCGTGAGTGTGGTGAGTGGTGAGTGTGAGTGGTGAGTGGTGAGCGTGAGTGTGGTGAGTGGTGAGTGGTGAGCGTGAGTGTGGTGAGTGGTGAGCGTGAGTGTGGTGAGCGTGAGTGTGGTGAGTGGTGAGTGTGAGTGGTGAGTGGTGAGCGTGAGTGTGGTGAGTGGTGAGTGGTGAGCGTGAGTGGTGAGTGGTGAGCGTGAGTGGTGAGCGTGAGTGGTGAGCGTGAGTGGTGAGTGGTGAGCGTGAGCGTGGTGAGCGTGAGTGTGGTGAGTGGTGAGCGTGGGTGGTGAGTGGTGAGCGTGAGTGTGGTGAGTGGTGAGTGGTGAGCGTGAGTGGTGAGTGGTGAGCGTGAGTGGTGAGCGTGAGTGGTGAGTGGTGAGCGTGAGTGGTGAGTGGTGAGCGTGAGTGGTGAGCGTGAGTGGTGAGTGGTGAGTGGTGAGCGTGAGTGTGGTGAGTGGTGAGCGTGGGTGGTGAGCGTGAGAGTGATGAGGGTGAGCGTGAGTGGTGAGGGTGAGTGGTGAGCGTGAGTGGTGAGTGGTGCGTGGTGAGCGTGAGTGGTGAGTGGTGAGCGAGTGGTGAGAGTGAGTGGTGAGTGAGTGGTGAGTGGTGAGCGTGAGTGGTGAGCGTGAGTGGTGAGGGTGAGTGGTGAGGGTGAGTGGTGAGCGTGAGTGGTGAGTGGTGAGCGTGAGTGGTGAGCGTGAGTGGTGAGTGGTGAGCGTGAGTGGTGAGTGGTGAGTGGTGAGCGTGAGTGGTTAGTGAGTGAGCGTGAGTGTGGTGAGCGTGAGTGTGGTGAGTGGTGAGCGTGAGAGTGGTGAGGGTGAGCGTGAGTGGTGAGCGTGAGTGGTGAGCGTGAGTGGTGAGCGTGAGTGGTGAGTGGTGAGCGTGAGTGGTGAGTGGTGAGCGTGTGAGTGGTGAGTGATGAGTGGTGAGTGGTGAGCGTGAGTGGTGAGCGTGAGCGTGGTGAGCGTGAGTGGTGAGCGTGAGTGGTGAGCGTGAGTGGTGAGTGGTGAGCGTGAGTGGTGAGCGTGAGTGGTGAGCGTGAGTGGTGAGTGGTGATTGTGAGTGGTGAGTGGTGAGCGTGAGTGTGGTGAGTGGTGAGCGTGTGTGTGGTGAGCGTGAGTGGTGAGTGGTGAGTGTGAGTGGTGAGTGGTGAGCGTGAGTGTGGTGAGTGGTGAGTGGTGAGCGTGAGTGGTGAGCGTGAGTGGTGAGTGGTGAGCGTGAGTGGTGAGCGTGAGCGTGGTGAGCGTGAGTGTGGTGAGTGGTTTGCGTGGGTGGTGAGTGGTGAGCGTGAGTGTGGTGAGTGGTGAGTGGTGAGCGTGAGTGGTGAGTGGTGAGCGTGAGTGGTGAGCGTGAGTGGTGAGTGGTGAGCGTGAGTGGTGAGCGTGAGTGGTGAGTGGTGAGCGTGAGCGTGGTGAGCGTGAGTGTGGTGAGTGGTGAGCGTGGGTGGTGAGCGTGAGAGTGATGAGGGTGAGCGTGTGTGGTGAGGGTGAGTGGTGAGCGTGAGTGGTGAGTGGTGCGTGGTGAGCGTGAGTGGTGAGTGGTGAGCGAGTGGTGAGCGTGAGTGGTGAGTGGTGAGTGAG